CAGCCTGGCCAACATGGTGAGACCCTGTCTCTACAAAATAAAAATTAGCTGCGTGTGGTGGTACACAGCTGTAGTCCCAGCTACTTGGGAGGCTGAGGCGGGAGGATTGCTTAAGCCCGGGAGGCAGAGGTTGCAGTGAGCTGAGATCACACCATTGTACTCCAGCCCGGGAAGTGGAGTGAGACCCTGTCTCAAAATAAATAAATAAATAAGAGATGACTCAGGGCTATATCCTTAATAATGTCACTCTGACTTCCTTGCATTGCAATAGGCATTCCTGAGTGGGAGGGAAGGGTGAGGGGACAGACAGAGCACAGACCGTTATAAACAACTGGCTACCACAGCCAGCAGGAAGTGGCTCGCCACTCCTACTCCACATGAATTACTGTATTGCTTTACTTCCCTCCAGAGCTGGGGTGGGTGGAGTTATGTCTTAACCCGAGTAGGCTCATAGGTGTGGGTCCTTTGTATGTGCATCACCCATCACCTGGTGTGTGACAGAGACAATGAGAGGCTCGAGGGCAGGTGCCTGGACTTGGTCTCAACCACCTGACCTTGCCTGAATTGAAGACAGCGAGGAAAAAGGAGTTGGGCCTGGGTCTAGGATATTTAGAGTCGGGACAGCCATCCTGCTGACTTACTGGGTAACTGTCCCTGCTACTAGGGAGGCTGAGGCTGAAGAGTCGCTTAAGCCCAGGAGTTTGAGGCTGATTGTATCACTGCACTCCAGCCTGGGGGACAGGGAGGGCCCCTGTCTCAAAAAGAGAAATGAAATTAAAAATAAATAAATAAGGCCGGGCACGGTGGCTCTGCAGTTTGTGGACCAAGGCAGGTGGATCACCTGAGGTCAGGAGTTGGAGACCAGCCTGGTCAACATGGTGAAACCCCATCGCTACTGAAAACACAAAAATTAGCCAGGCATGATGGTGGGTGCCTGTAGTCTCAGCTAGTCAGGAGGCTGAGGCAGGAGAATCACTTGAACCCAGGAGGCAGAGGTTGCAGTGAGCTGAGATCACTCCACTGCATTCCAGCCTGGGCGACAGAGCAAGACTCTATCTTACAGTAAAATAAGATGACTGCTCCAGCTCCTGCCATCACATCCACAGTCCGGTCAGTAAAAAGGGTGCAGGAAGGTGGAGCATATGCCTCTGTCTTCCGGGAACTTCCCAGAAGTGGCACTCTCCCTTCCACTCAGACCCCATTGGCTAAAACTCCACCACAAGGCCACAGCTCACCTCACAGGAAGCTGGGAAGTGTAGTCCTGAGCCAAGGATCGGATGCCTTGCTGAGATATGAGTTTCATTGTAAAGGAAGGAGGAGTGGGTGTGTGTTTAGGGGCTGTAAACATGCCTGCTATGTCATTGTTTCTGTGTGTCTCCTGTGCACAAAGCCAGGACTTACTTCCCAGAATTCATTCCTGAAAAGGCTCAGATCTCTAGCGCAGGAACGTGGAAAGGCTTCCAGCATCTGGACGGAGACAGGACCCTGTGCTGGAGTGGGCGAGGAGGCTGGAAACACCCTCCCGTCATGCTCTTCTTCCTCAGCTTTTGGAGACTGAGCTTTGACACACCCTTCCCTCCCTCCCACCCCAGCCTCCGAGGCCCCCAATTCAGCTGACTCCTATCCAGTCTCCTTTCCTTTCCCCCCCCTCCCAGGGGCACCTTCCTGGGCCACATCCCCAGCCCCCTCACACTGCGAGAAAATCTGAGTATCCAAAATGGCAAGCCGGATTTTCCTGTGGTGGCATGGCAGCTGCCCCTTGGAAAAGAGACAGCCCGCTTCAGCCGCTGAGAAAGAGCTGGACTCCCCAGCAGCCCCTCACAGATACAGATCCTCGTCCTCACAGTGGCACGGCGCCTTCGGCTCCCTCAGCCCAGGGAGCAAGAGAAGAGGAGGCAGCAGTGGGCTGGACCCCAGCATCTCCCCCAGGACAGCAAGCCTGACTAGAACATCCACTTCTCTCTGGACTTCTCTCTTGGCCTGGCGCAACCTAGAGACCATGTCACCTCCACACATTTTCCTTTCGTAGCTACCGCTCTCCCACCTCCCCAGCCTCTCACCGCCCTCTCATAAAGCTCTCCCTGGCCCTGGCAGGCATCGGCCTGCTTAAGCAACCCCACCCCCCACAACTCTCTGGCTGGGGCCAGCCAGGGCCAGTTACCCCATCCCTGAGCCACGCCTTCTTAACGTAACCCTCTGAAAGAGGAAAGCCAGCTAACAGCCTTGTTCTGCTTTGATGAGCTGACCCCGCTTTTTCCAGTCACAAGGGCAGGCTGAGGCCAAATTTTCCATCCATGGAGAAAGGCCAGGGTGGGGGGTGGGGGTGGCCCCACGGGCCAGTCTGCCTCCCACTTGCTTGGTTTGAATTAGTGGGTGCCTTAAAAAGGAGCAAACGCAGCCTGGTTCTCAGAGCCTGGCCAGGCACCGCTCAGGGAGCCAAGCAGAAGGCCAAGACGAGAACACATTTCTTTTTAATGGGAAACAGATTCGAGAAGGGGAAAAATGAGAATGAGAGAGGAACGAAACCCCAGCACTCCCAGCAGAGCAGCTGGAGGCTTGCGGGTGTGACCTCCCACGACGACCGAAGCTCAGCACCCTCCTGGCCCCACCTCCTGCATGCCACAGGGCTGCCCGTCCCTGTGCACGGCCCTCTCACTGCCCTGTCTCTCCTCGGACCCCCACAGCAGCCCTGAGCCGTAGGCCGGCCGGAGTCACTAGCCCAGCAGATCAACCAGAGTCCTGTAGTTCAAGGACGCCAGCATGAGAAAGGAGGGGCACAGAGGCCTGAGAATTACTAACTCGGTGATGTGATCGGGTCCCCAGTCTGCAAGAGATTTGCATGTATTTGCCTAAGTTATGCAGCAGCACAGACTCTTGGCCCTATATTTAGATGTGATGAAATAATCGTATCCTTTTAAAAACTGAGATGGGGCTATTTTAAGGCAGCCAAAGGTTACCTGTTCATGTATGATGCATGTAAAACTATACAGAGAATTACATGAACAATCTATAACCACCCAGGACCCCAGAGAAAATTCTCTTTTCCTTTTCCTCCACTAGTGGAATTTCTCACCTCGTTAAGTGAGGAAGTGGGATCCGTCATCACTTTATGGGCTGGCGAGAAACTGCCCCCTCTTTCCCCAACAATGAAACCCTAAGGCCACTGTGTTTGCCATTAACAGAAGCATTGGCCCCAGTGTAGGGATGAAGGAACTCAGCCAGGGTGCGGGAATGCACGAGGATCATGAGTTTGGTGTGCAAGAAATGCAATCTCTTCGTTCCCCTCTCTAGTCCCACACGGAGCTTTCGTGATGCCTGCAGGTGAGGGCCTCTGGGTGCCAGGCACTCTATGGGGTGCAAGGGTTACAGACATGAGCAGGGCCTCACTCTTGGCCTCAGAGTCCTCAAAACAAGTGCATAGTGATCCTATCCCTATAAAATAGTAAGACGGAATTATGTACAGAGGAGGAGCGCTTGGCCCGCAGAGTGGGGGTGGGAATTCCATGAGTGTTTCCAAGAGGGAAAAAAAAAAAAGCAAATGGAGCACAGTCTTAGCAGATGAGTAAGAGTTGGCAGGGGGAGGCGGGTGGCGGCAGGACCAAGACATGGAAAAGCAAAGCGGGAGGCTGTCCTGGAAATTCGGGCAGGGGCCGGTGGGGCCGAGGAGGGCCTTGTGTGTCTGCCAAGGGTTGGCTCACTGCCCTGCAGGCCAAGGCCGCTTTCAGGTGAAGAGTGATGTGGTCACCTTTAACGTGGGTGTTTTGGGCTGCACGCGGGCTGGCAGGCTGAAGGGAGGTCAGCGAGGAAGCCATTGCAAATATCTAGAAGCTGCTGAAGGTCTGAACAATGGCATCACAGGGAGGGGCGAGAGGCAGAGAGCAGGACTGAGAAAAATTAGTGAATCAATAGGACCGAGTTAGTGGGTGACTCTAGAGGGCAACTGTAAGGAGGAGGAAAGCGGGATCTGAAGGAATCCAGCAGGCAGACATTGTTTTCTCTGTTGGAAAAAATCTAGAAGTCAGAGAGGATGAAGCTGTCGGGGAGACAGGAGAAGGGTAAAATCTTTTTTTCTTTCTCCTTCCAATGGCCAAATAGAGCTGTTAGGCGCCCCCTCAGCTGAGCTGCTCCCCGGACTGGAGACTCTGTAGCTCCAGCTGCTTGCAAGCTCAGGCAGCATCCGGTAGCCTCTGGAGGATGTAATTCAATTCAGCAAATGCTTATTGAACAGCTCCTCCACATAGGGAAAGGGAATCCACGCATGATTGAGTGCTTACATTGTGTTGGCAGAGTGTTAAGTGCATTTACATGTAATCTCATCTCCAGTCGCCGTCCCCTCAGCCCTGAGAGGCCAAGTCACTTCCCTCCACCGGCCTGAGAGGTCAAGTCATTTGTCCAAGTTTGGGTGGTAAGTAAGGGGTAGTGCCAGGAGGCAAACCCAGAAGTAGTGCCTTATCACTTAGTCACATTCTTCCACAATGAACCCAGGAGGTCGCAAGTGATGGATACAACTATTTTAAGCAAATCGGGGAATGCATTGGCTTATTTGACTAAAAAGCACATGAGTCAGCTGACTCCAGGCACAGCTAGATCCAGGAGCTCAAAAGATACCGTCAGCTCTCTCTTGAACTTGCTCATAAATGAGGAAATCCATCTCGCTCCCATTTATGTTCATCTGGGCTCATACATAAGGCAGCGTGGCATGCATAGCATAGCTTGAATGTTTTGGGAGTCCCGCAGCCTGCGTTCCAATCCAAGCTCCACCACCTAACTAGCTGGGTGATTTTAGATGAGCTGCTTAACTTCTCAGTGTCCCTGTTTCCTTGTCTGCAAAATGGGTATAATAATAGAATCATCTCTTAGGATTCTCGTGAGGAATAAATTAGATCGTCCACACAGTATGCCTAGAGCAGGGTCTGATACAAAAGCAGCACCCCAAGATATTAGCCATTGTTCTTTCCATCTCTGCCTCTCTTAAGGTGGGTCTCATCCTCTCCTGTTAGGTGTCTCCTTCCACGTGGCGCAGAGAGGCAGCCCCAAGCAACCCCAGCTTACGTCATCCTTTCGACCTCCGGTCTTACGAAGAGAGCTCTTTCTCTGTGTATGGAGGTCACGTGCCCATCCCTGCAGCCATCTCTGAGGCCAGGGGCTGCATCTTCTGTGAAGCTCTGTGAAGGTGAGATGGGCACCGTGACCCACAGCCCCCCTGGGTCATATAGAAGTAGAAGTTTCTTTAAAAGATGTGATGCTGTGAAGACAAAATAACATATGTCCCCTGTTCCGTGCTAGGTGCCATTATGACAGAGTGTGACAAAAAGTGAGTACGGCAGAGTCTCCTCTCCATGAAAACCTACATCAAAGTAGGAAAGATGAGACAAGGACACATTTGTCCAGAAGGCAGACTGTGACAAACTCCGTGAGAGAAGGACTGCTAAGATCTTCTGCAATTTTCAGGAAAGAAGAGATCACACAGAGTTGGGTGAATCAGTACGAGCTTGATGAAGGAGTTTGGCTCCTGGGGATGGTGTCCATGCAGCAGGTACAATAGCACAGGGGAAGAGGAGCTTCTGGTTTGATAGCATAGGGTAGAAAAAGGAATCCTGAGCAATGAGGCTGGAAGGCAGAGCTGGCGCAGGATATGCACAGAAAGCAGGCGGAGGTCAAGGACTGTTAGCTCGGACTAGAAAAGAGACAGCCATACTTAGATATTGAATTATCAAGACTGAAGGCAGGGGATGCATGATAAGGAAGAGGCTGTGAGTCAGATCCTGAGTTAGTTTAGAAAATTCTGGGCTAGGCATGGCAGCTCATGCCTGTAATCCCAGGACTTTGGGAAGCTGAGGTGGGTGGATTGCCTAAGGTCAGGAGTTCGAGACCAGCCTGGCCAACATGGTGAAACCCTGTCTCTGCTAAAAATACAAAAATTAGCCAGGTGTGATGGCATGTTATTTGCTAGACTGAGGCCCGAGAACTGCTTGAACCCAGGAGGTGGAGGTTGCAGTGAGCCGAGACTGCACCATCGCACTCCAGCCTGGGTAACAAGCGTGAAACTCCATCTAAAAAAAAAAAAGTTCTGGATTTATGAACATCATCATTTCATCATTCAGGATGGGGAGAAGCCAGGAAAAGCAGATGGCCAGATGGCAAAGATTTTTAAAGAAGAATCTTAATCCTTAATCCCAGTGCCCTCCAGAGACTTCTTTGGTTTTTTCTTTTTTTTCCATTTTTTTTTTTTTTTTCTTTTTGAGGCTGAGTCTTGCTCTGCTTCCCAGGCTAGAATGCAGCGATGTGATCTCAGTTCACTGCAGCCTTGACCCCACTCCAGGCTCAAGCAATCCTCCTGCCTCAGCCTCCTGAGTAGCTGCGACTGCAGGTGCATGCCACCACACCCAGCTATTTTTTTATTTTTTATTTTTTGTAGAGACTAGCCTGTGGCCCAGGCTAGTCTCAAACTCCTAGGCCCAAACAATTCTCCCACCTTGGCCTTCAAAAGTACTAGGATTACTAGCATGAGTCACCATGCCCGGCCTCCTCCAGGGACTTTTATATGACTCATGTGAATTCCAATTAATCTAATTCAAGAGAAGCCGGCTTTCTAGAAGCAATTTTATATTTGTGGTAGGTGTGCAATCATTCATTCATTTATACGCTCATTTAATATTTGTTCAGCATCGTGCTGGGCTCTAAGAGCACGAATAAACAAGGCTTGGACCCTGCCCTCAGGGAGCTCTCTGTTCGGTGCAACCTCGTACTCCGTTCATACCTGCTGGCCACACACCATATACTGGTGATCTGCTATGTGGTCTCCCCACCGGACTGAACATTCCAGTTTACAAATGTTCATTGACTGATTAATTGTGTCTCTAGCCTCAGCCTCCACTTGGATTGAGAGACTAAGTACAACAGTTTCGTTCCCACTGTGTCCTGTTTTGTGCATAGTCCAGAAGCCATGGTGGAGAGCAGGGAGGGAGCTGAGCATTCTTCGTGGGAAGAGCTGCCTTGGAAAGTGCGGGGGGAGGGAAAGCGTTAGCCAAGAAACAGCCAATGACAGAGGAGAGTCCGAGGGGCCTGTGGAGGGGCAGGAAAAAGTGTGGGCTCTGGAATGGGGTAACTGTGCTGGGGACTGAGAGTTCAAAGACAGGGACCAGGTGAGGGGGCTGTGCTTAAAGCAATGAGAGGAAGACGAAGGCTGCAGGTGAGCTGCTGGAAATAGGGAAACAGGGGAGAGAAAGGACCGAGAGGGAGACTTTTATAGTAGCACACGTGGGCGGATAAAGATGGCCAAGAACTCTGACGTTCCCTCCATCAAGAAACGGGGTCTATTACCACTCCTCTTGACTCTGGGCTGGCCTGTGACCGCTTTGGCCAATAGAATATGACAGAAATTCCAGAGTGCAGTGGCACACACCTGTAGGTCCAGCTACAGGATGGCTTGAATCCAGGAATTTGAGGCTGTACTGTGCTGTGACTGAGGCCGTGAATAGCCACTGCACCCCAGCCTGGGCGACAGAGTGAGACTCTATTTTTAAAAAAGAAAAAAAGAAGAAGAAGGCAGCCGGGAGCAGTGGCTCAGCCTGTAATCCCAGCACTTCGGGAAGCTGAAGCAGGTGGATCACCTGTGGTTAGGAGTTCAAGACCAGCTTAACCAACATGGAGAAAATACAAAATTAGCGAGGTGTGGTGGCGCATGCCTGTAATCCCAGCTATTTGGGGGGCTGAGGCAGAAGAATCTCTTGAACCCAAGAGGCAGAGTTTGCGGTGAGCCGAGATCATGCCATTGCACTCCAGCGTGGGCAACAAGAGCGAAACTCTATCTCAAAAAAAAAAAAAGGAAGAAAGAAAAGAAAAGAAAAAGGAGGAGGAGGAGGAGGAGAAGGAGGAGGAGGAGGAGGAGGAGGAGGAGGAGGAGGAGGAGGAGGAGGAGGAGGAGGAGGAGGAGGAGGAGGAGAAGTAACAGTATGCCAGTTCCAGTCCTGGCCTTTGAGGAGGCTGGCAGCTTCCTCCTGGGTCTCCTGGAGCCTTGAGCAGGTCTATCTTCAACTCTAATCACCATAGTCTTGACTGGCCCCTGACCATTGGGCTCCCGGCATTACTCAGTGCTGAGCCCTAATAGGTTAGCACAGACCCCAGCATTAGCGCACCCTTTCGCTCACCCTCCGGCATGTCCCAAAGCAGCTGACTTTTCTGCTGGGCTAGGCTTTACTTCCCAGACTCCTCCCAGCCGTGATTTTCTTGCACCCTGATTAGAAATCCATCTAGTCCTGCACTTGCCCATGGAATCCCAAGGCAAGTTTAAATGTAGATTAAGCTTCTTTGCTCTTTTGATTTTCTGTTTTTTTCCTTTCTTTCTTGTGTTGGTTCTGTTGTATTTCTTTCTTGTATTGTATCTGTTCTCACACTGCTATAAAGAAATAACGGTGACTGGGTAATGTATAAAGGAAAAAGGTTTAATGGACTCACAGTTCTGCATGGCTGGGGAGGCCTCAGAAAACTTACAATCATGGTGGAAAGTAAAGGGGAAGCAAGGTTGGACATTCTCACACGGCAGCAGGAGACAGTAGTGAGAGGTGCGAAGGAGGAAGAACCCCTTATAAAACCATCAGATCTCGTGAGAATTCACTCACTATCATGAGAACTGCACGGGAGAAATCGTCCCTGTGATCCAATCACCTCCCATCAGATCTCTTCCTAGACATGTGGAGATTGTAAGGATTACAATTCAAGATGAGATTTGGGTAGGAACAAACAATATCATTTCTCTTCCTTCCTTCCTCTCTCTCCTTCCCTCCTTCCCTCTTTCTCTTGTTCTTTCTTTCTCTCGTTCTTTCTTTCTTTTTCTTTCTCTCTCTCTCTCTCTCTCTCTCTCTCTCTCTCTCTCTCTCTCTCTCTTTGAAAGGGTCTCACTGTATCACCTGGGCTGGAGTGCAGTAGCAGGGCCTCAGCTCACTGCAGCCTCAATCTCCCAGGTTCAAGTTACCCTCCAGTTTTAGCCTCCCAAATAGCTGAGACCACAGGTGCATACCACCGTACCTAGCTAATTTTATTTTTTCATAGAGATGGAGTCTCCCTATGTTACCTAGGCTGGTCTTGAACTGCTGGGCTCAAGTGATCCTCCAGCACTGGCCTCCCAAAGTGCTGGGATTACGAGTGTGAGCCACCACACCTGACCCCATTTGAGTTTCTTAGGGTAACCTGAGTCCCCATCATTCTCTTTCCCTACCACCTTAACCTCTCCTTGAACAGGTATCTTTAGTGGGCACTGGCAGGGTCCACTGGGTCGGTCCTGGTGCTCATGTTTCTAAGGTGACAGTGTGTTCTAGGCCCTGTTTCTTCGCTCCCTGAGTCTGACTGCTCCTGAATCCCTTGAATTCCAGTTGCTGCCCCAGTTAGTACTGGAGGCCTTTTATCTTTTTTAAGCCGCTCTCCACTCTTTCTCTCTCGACTCATATTCTGGATCTTCCCAAGAAAGTCCTAATCCCTGGGTGGGACTCCATGTCATCAGTGATGAATATTCTGGAAATGGAGCAAGCCAAACTGCATGGGATGATTCAAGGAACAAAGGAGAAAGCCAAAGGGGGAAGAATAGTGCCTCCCCCAGCGGCGCGCCAGCCTCGTCTTCCCCTCAGTCCCCTTCTCCTGGAAGACCAGCCCAACCCAGCAGGCTTCTCAAATGGGGATGGACCTGTAACCCTCCATCATCATCTTCCAGAATCCAGCTAGGAGCAAGAAGCCACTAAACCCTCCCATTGTACATATGGGGGAACTGAGGCTCAGAGGAGACGTTTACTTTGTCGAAGTTCATAAAACTAGTTATATGGCACTTGGATCTCCTAACTTCGAATCCATTTCGTTCTTAGCGGTAGTATTTTTCCATGTTTGAAAAGGTCATGAGTCATGTCTTAGGAAAGCCTCCGGTGATATTTTGAATAGTTTAGAGTGCCAGATTCTGAACTCAGTTGAGATGAATGAAACACAGCTAATCTTGCTCTAAGGAAATTTGCATTCCTGCAGGAAAGGAGATGTTAGTCAGTCTATTAAAAAAATGTTTTATGTAGCACTGACTCTGGATAAGATGTAGATGAGGACCTGCAAAAAAATGCAAAACGAAGGGAAAAAGGGTCTCATTTTACACTTAGGATGTAGCAGGAGAGAGAAGATACGTACAACTGAAGTTTTCACTAGCAATTAAAAGGCAGAACACAATGCTGAACGTGGGTTACGGGGATTAATTGCCAGGAGGGGTTGAGAAGACTAGAATGTATCGAAACTCTCTACATTCTTGTGTTCTCATCCCAGAGAACCATTCTCACAGGCCAATAAGGAGACATGTGTGAGATGCCCATTGTAGCACTGTTTGCAGTGCCTGGGAGTTGGGAGCAACTTAGGAATAGATAGTACACATGGTGTGTGTATATGATGAAATACTATGCTATAAAAAGTCCACATGGCAACAAGCACAGGTCTTAACTACCACTGAGTGAACTAGAAATAAAATAAAAGTTGTTGTTGTTGTTGTTTTGTTGTTGTTGTTGTTGTTGAGATGGAGTCTCACTCTGCTGCTCAGACTGGCGTGCAATGAAGCAATCTCAGCTCACTGCAACCTTTGCCTCCTGGGTTCAAGTGATTCTTCCACCTCAGTCTCCCGAGTAGCTGGGATTACAGATATTCCCCATCATGCCCTGCTAATTTTTGTATTTTTAGTAGTGTGTTTGTATTTTCACTATGTTTGTGTTTTTAAGTTTTACCATGTTGGCCAGGCTGGTCTCGAACTCCTGGCCTCAGGTGAT